GGCTTCGGCAGGGGGTTGGACTGGGTGACCCACAGAGGTCCCTTCCAACCCCGAACATTCTGTGATTCTGTGATTTGGGACATCGTTTTGCAGACATGGTGGTGTTGGGGTGATGGTTGGGCTTGATGATCTTAGAGGTCTTTCCAACCTTAATGATTCTGTGATTCTCTTCGGATTTGGGCAGAACAATCTTTTTCTGGTTAAAGTGTCTGTGAAGTGCGCTGGTGTTTGTCAGCGTGAGTCGCTCAGCTGTGCAGTGTCGGGGCTCCGAAGCCCCGGGCCGTAGCTGGCCGGCAAGCGGGATCATTGCAGTGCTGACCTGTTGCGGGTGCGCTGCCGTGGGCAGCGTTGCTCCCCACACGCCGCTGCGGCACCTGTGAACTCTCACCGGCGCCACGTTGCCGCGTGGCAGTGGAAACGGGCGTATCAGTGCAGTACAGTGTGTCCCAACACCCAAGGGAGGAGAGTGGTGGGAGCAAGGCAGCCCGTCCCCTCCCGGCCTCGGGCCTCCCGAGGAGAGGAATCTGCCTCCTGAAAAGATGTCGGTTCTCCATCGGGCGGCATCAGATCGGATTTAGAAAAGACCTTTTGGATGCCAGCTTTGCTCAGCTGTTGTCAGTTGCACGGGCAGCTCTCTGCGTTCCTCTTCCCCTCCCCGTCTCTTTTACCCTGGGGGAGTTTTTTACCTGGGGGAGTTTTTAGGCTGCCAGACTGTAGCGTCTTCTAGCACTGCTTTGCAGCTGAGGAATGGTGATTTTTGGATGCGCTGTGAGCGAGACGGCTGGAAATTGGTTTGTGCTTTGCGGGGAGGTTGCTGGGTAAGAAAAGGAACGACGTGGCAGTGGCTGCTTCTCATGGTCATGATGACATTGAGAGCACGGCCGTGTAATTTGAGGCTTCGGGAGAAGAGACTACGAGGCAGCGAGCAGAGTGCTGGGCCAGGAATTAATCTGACAGGCAGGCAGGTGTGCAGCGTGACCGAGAGCTTGGAGTTAAGTGTCTAACCTTTTCGCAGGCTGCGGATACCTTGGCTGTGCGACAGAAGCGACGGATCTACGATATCACCAATGTGCTGGAAGGCATCGGGCTGATTGAGAAGAAATCCAAGAACAGTATCCAGTGGAAGTGAGTGACAGAGCAGCTCTTGAGTCATTTGCAGGTCCCTTCTCGTCCCAGGTCCGGTTTCCTCGTCAGGCAAGCCGGGCTTTGCGAGGCTGTTGTCAAAGTGACGCTGTGGTTAAAGCGCCCTGCTCGGAGCCGGGTTCCTCGGTGATCTCTGCGTGCTTGTGCTTCCCCCAGCGGGGCTGTGCTGGTGGCAGCGATGAGGAAAGCTGAAGTGCATGTGGTGTGTGTACTCCTTTACAGCAGAGCTGGTCCTTTGGTACAGACCAAGTGCTTGCAGCACCTTGGGCTAGAAAATGTGACTGTTGTGGCACTGGAGGTGGGGGAGAGCCCTGCGCTCTGCAGGATGTAGGAAGGGACAGTTGGACTTGATGATCTTAGAGGTCTTTTCCAAGCTGTGATTCCCTGAAGATGTACCAAACATTGCTGTGCTGGAAGGTGGGGACCTAGAGCGGGTACAGATGAGGCTTTCCGGGCCGTCCGGCCTTGGTGTGTGACTGGGGTGGTGGTGAGGGAGGTGGCAAGCTCCCTCAGAGGTTGGGGCTGGTCTGGGGGCCTCCGGAAGCTGATGCATGTCACTCATTCCTTTTTGCTTTGCCCAGAGGCGTGGGTCCTGGCTGCAACACACGTGAAATAGCTCACAAACTTATCGAGCTGAAGGCAGACACAGAGGTCCTGGAGCAGCGGGAACAGGAGCTGGAGCAGCAGAAGATGAAAAAAAGAGCATCAAAAACGTTACAGAAGACGTGCAGAACAGTCGATATCCTTTGCCGGTTACTCCGTCTCCGTGTTTGCTCACAGGGCTGGAAAGCGGAGAGCTGAGGGCCGGGTTGGTGCTGCCCAGCGCAGGGCAGAGGGGCGGTGGAGACCTGCTGCTGCTGGAGGAGCTGCGCTGAAAGGGGCCGGAGGTAGCGCCTGCCTTTGAAACCGGGGTGGCTCTGTCCAGCCTGGGAACCAGCTTGCTCCGCGGTGCCCGGCTTCTTGTCTGGCTTCGTGGAGTCTAAAACGCTGCCACGTTTACTGCGGTGAGCAAAGTGCTGCTCTTGGAGCCGCGGGGGCCGCTTTCTCGAGGACGGAGGTGCTTC